CCGCGCAGGTCGCACCAGGTCGCGTGCAGGCCGCTCCAGGTCGCGCACAGGCCGCCCGTAGCCCGCGTGCAGGTCACGCCAGGCCGGCCAAACTGGTGCCCGGGTGGGATACCAACTTGGTAAGTTATTGTCTGGGTGTTTGCCTAGTTGTCACGAGGTACCACGTGTCGCAATTTCACTGGAGGGCCAAATCTGCCCTCATCACTTCCTATTTTTGCCACATGGACAAATCCTATGGCCCATTTGAACCATCCATTTATAATTTTTCCCTGATTCTCACCCTACTCTTTTAGGCCTTATCCTTGGATGATAATCTCACTTTCTAGAAGTTGGAAAATCATAGTTTTTGAATGGGTATATATATATTTGATTTTTTCCACCTTTTGGGGATTTGTTAAAGCCACGTGAAGGGAAAGCATATTCTTTTTGGCTTTCGGTTGCATCTTGGCCTTAAATGTGCTCTTCCAAATTAGGTATATTCCTTTTGCTAGTGAAAAGCTTGAATATTCCCTCCTTAAAAAAAGACAGAAAATGCAAGCCCCTGTTTGGGAGTGAGTGCTCTTCCAAATTAGATACTTTTTTAACTTTTTTTGTTCATTTTATTTAAACTCAGAACCAGATCCATTTAAATATGGGTTGATATGATGCATAGGACTTGTAAAGCAACACTTGTGAAAAGGTTTAAGCCCCCTGTATGCGACTGCTTATTGGATAAATAAGTGCTTATAGATAATTGCTTATTTATAATGCTTACCCTAATAAGCATTTATGAGCTTTTGGTGAAAAAGCACTTCTTTCAAATGGGTAGAACAGGTACTTTGAAAATAGAAAAAAAAAGCCTTGTGATTATTGGTGTGGGCTTATTCTGACTTATTTCAAAATCACTTTGAAATTTTTGAACTTATTTGAAATCGGTTTATTTTCAGAAAAAAATAAATGATTATTGGTGTGATTCTGGCCTAAAATATGCATTTTTTGCCATAAATGCTTAAAAATATTTACTCCCAAACAGGGGCTACGAAGATCTTGACGCACGTGTGACATGTAGTAGAGAAAATCAGCCTTGTGAGAATGGAAACATGTTTTGTTTTCCAGAAACATCTTTAATTTTGCTGGAAGGTAGATTGTTCAATCTATTTTGAGAAAACACAGCAGCCAAAAAGAGAATCATCTCATATTCAATTGATCCCCAGACACCTTATTTTTCTTTTATTCAAAATTTCGACCTCTTACATTTGAATTGTGCTAGCATATCCTTACCCAGAAGTATGAACAATACAAATTCATTTTATAATTTACATTTCTTTGTTCTTTTTTTTTTGTATTTACAAAAATGTTCTTCCAAACAGTCAACAGGGGGAATTTTGGGTTCAGGGACACAAGACATCTTGTATCTAGTCTGGGAGTGGGCACCCAATAACATGACACAGTTTATACAAGTTAATTTAAAGGATCAGGATACACCACTAAACCAGTCCCGTCCAACAGATTAGCTGCACCAAAAATCAATGCGATTAGATAATGAATTTGGAAATTTCTGTAGTGTTTTTGGGCAACAACCTGATTGCTTTATCCATTATCATCATGGTTTGTTTGGGTGAACACGCGAAATTAATTAATTTTAAAATGATTACAAATTGGTAAAGCATGTGATTGGCTTCAGACATCAAACTTCAATGATTTCTTCAAAGTTTGATCACACTTCAACGACTGCCATATTGAAAAATCATCTCCATTATTCTTAATGTAGACAACAAGTACAGAGATTATTACACAATTCATGTCATTTAATCACCAAGTATATAACTCTCTCTCTCTCTCTCTCATTTAATTACAAATTGAGCATGATTAAATCCTTCCCTCTTTAGATAGCACCGAGAGCCACCTTCTTGTTTCAGTACTACCCTGTAACTATATTCCTAATTAACTAGCTAGTTTGAGCCAAATTAAGAGGTAAATCATGTCTAGAAGCTATCTTACAAAATAAAAGGTTATGAAGATTACCAGTTAGAGAAACTAGGTCTGAACTCTTTCTTTCCCTAGTGGTGGCTTTGGAGTATGGCGGTTATTAGCTCCTGATCCCGGATAATCATTCAGTTCCAAACCCATCCTGCCGTTGGCAAGTTCTTCTTCCCATACTTCTTCTGTGCTTGCCTGTTTTCATTGAAATTAAACGACAAAACTTTAATCAGTTAAACCTGACCAGCAAAATTTGTTGATATCTTTGATTTTAGTTCAAGAAAACACAAATTAAAGGAACGTAGAAAAGAATTTGATCTTTATCACTTTGGCAGCATATATCTCAGATTTAATACTTAATTTTGCTTAAACATGGTTGAAGAGAGTATGTTTTAATTTGAAACATTTGAACAATTAATCCAAATTGTAAGCTACCTGCAGATGGGTGTTCTCAGAATCTGCTGGAAGCAGTACTCTAGTATCAGATAATAGATTTCTAGTCCCTGCAGTAACCACAAGATGAAATGATTAGTTAACAAAGAAGGAAAAACAAGAATGTATATATTTTCCCCAATAAATAACAGGCTAAAGGAGACTAACTTGTTATTGGGACAGCATTCAAGGAGATGAGGTGAGAAAAACTCAATAGAATAACTAGCAGATGAAGGGGGCTTCCTGCCATTTCTACCAAACTGTAAACACAATGACAGCGATGACTTTTATGACAGCTAGAGCCTGAATTTGTTTCTCACCAACTGCTGCAGCTACTTCCCGGCCCTTTTATATATATATGCATTCCTGAGACAAAATAAAGAGTCACTTTTGATGTATAATATATGTGGTGTTACGCACATGCATCATTTCACCAAAGTCAAAAAGATGAACAGCTTGGTGCATGGGTTACATCTTATGGAGCTCTACCTAACTTGATAATTTCCTCCCTCTTTCTCTCATTATGTGCATAGAAAGGAACATTAATTGTTCACACTTTAATAAGGGAATCAAATGTCGGGATGAAATAAATAATCAAGTTAAAAAGATGGCACAGATACATTGTTCCGTGTTTAATTAGTGTTTGTTATGATGCCAGGGATACTTGGAAGATGATGGATATTTTCTTGGAAAGGTGGCCAATGTATGTGAGCCCTTAGGGTTTGTTGAGTGCGGGGCATCATAAAAAGAAATGCATTAATTAAGAAAACAAAAAACAGTATAGAAAGATGCACCCACCATGGTGGGTTGATGACAAAAAGGATACACCACCTTTGCAGCAGCACTGTTCTTACTCTAACTTTAATCCAGGTCCTAGTGGAGAGAGAGAGATTGAGAGAGATCGATCTTCCATCTTCTCCATTAATGGGTGAGTGGGTTTGTTAATGGAGGACTTTTGGTGGGAAGTTTGCTTCAAGTTACTTGAGATGAGATAACCCATATATCCATCTTAATTTGTGATCATTCTTCGAGCACCTGACACTTGTATGGGGATCAAAATAACTTGATTGACTTTTGGGTCCAAGTGATAACCTGAAATCAGGTATTGGACTTAGGGGTGGATTCGAGTCGAGTTGAGCCGAATAGTACAAGGCTCGAACTCGGCTTGAGACTGTTCTATAAGACTTGAGTTCGATTCGAGTAAAAAATTTATAAGTTTGAGCTCGGTTTGACTCGAGCTCGATTTTGAGAAAAAATATTTTATAAAAATAAAAAATTATATATAAAAATATTTTTTATTTGATATTTAAAAAAATAAGAATTATAATAATAATTAATAGTTATAATATTTTTATTATATATATTATTTTCTATAATTTTATTATATATATATATATATATATATTCGAACCAGTTCGCAAACCACACGAACCGAGTTCTAATAGGCTCAAACTCGACTCATTTCATAATCAAGCCAATAAATTGGATTCAAGCTCGATTCGACTCGGCTTCAACCGAGTCATTACCACCCCTAATTTAACCATTGGGAAAAGGTATATTATTATTATTGCAATCGGCAAACATACAGCATGAACCTCCATTTCAGGTCATTTTCTTCATCTCTGACGACTCCTAGCTACGTGTGTATGGTTGAGGCTTACCATAAAAAAAAGGGAGTCAGTAGACATGATAACATCAGCAAAACAAACAGCACAGTATGAAGATGAAGACGAGCTTACTTAAGATATAATTCACTAAAAGCATTGAAGACTCATCAACTTCATTCAATTCGGCTTTTCTGTAAAGTAGAATTCCAGAAAACTGTTAACCCATAATGAAATTAACTAAAGTATGCAAATTATGACCAAGTTGGAAATAAACAAATTATTGTGTTTCTTCAAACAAGTTTATCCCTTTGGACTAGATGCCAGCAGGCCACCTCACTAAATTGAACTATAGGGGAGCTTGTACCAGTCACCATCTATTAACAAAATTAATGTGGATCGACTATATATATTATAGTATAAGATCAAGGAGAAATTAATATGCCTGCAACTTAGTCTAATTTAATCTTAAGAGATATCTGAAATCTTTCTTCATCCATTTAAATTTCAAGTTGAGATAAATTAGCAATGATAATATCCTATCTTCTTCTCTTTGATTTCTTTCTTTACTTTTATACTCTTCTAACGTCGTCGCGTGACCTGTAGATTATTATGTACTACCATATCTGATGATACGTGCAATAACTACTCCCCCATGTTTGTCCTAATTGCAAATTTTTTACTAATTAAACAGGATTTGCATTTCCACTCCATCATTTCGTTTCGGATTTCCTTTTTTAATTAACTTCTCTAAATTCATTAACAATATTCAATTTGATGGGCAAATTGTTGACCGTGGAAGTTATAGGGGAGTCAACAGTCGGTTGGAGTCATGGGTGACTCAAGCTTTCAGCCAGTTGAGATCCTATTTACTTATCTAGCTACGTCCTAAGTTGTGCCAAGTTTATGTATTGTATGATAATGCAACAGACCATCAACTTTAATTAATTAATGGGAAAAAGTTTGATTCCTACCAGGACATGTATCCAACCAAGTGCTTTTTTCGGTTAATTTTAGGGTTTAGGGGGTTCAAAGTTTAGGATTTAAATTTTGGGTTTAAGGATTTAGATGTGAAAAAAATAATTTATTTATTTGCAAATCAAGAGGTGGTCGGATTTAGAGTTTCCGCAAGAAAGAATTTGGCTCCTATTAAACTGTAGGTACAATCACTTTTTCAATTCACTGTGCATTAAAAAATTTCATAGAAACAAGGAGGCATGGACTTATCATCCACTTTTAAAAGCGATTCTACTTACAATTTAAAAGGTCCCATAGTTTTTTCATGGGATAAGTGGACTGCAATCTACCTCAGAATCTGAAATTGTGGCCCCCTCCTAGTCTACTAGTAGTCCTCCTTATAAACCGCATCCTTCTCATGAATTTGGCATTAATCCACGGGCAGGATTCATCTGACCTGTACGGTGGGGGTCAGATTTCTGAGGTGGACTGAACTATAAAAACCCCTTTTTTCATTTGTCCAACCATGGTAAGAGCAAAATAAAACTCACAACTTTCAAGCAAAACTTCAACTTGAAGTCTTAAATCATATCGATAGGAGATTCTCCTAAATATAGGTTCCACGATGGTATGAAATTGTTTTTCCCTTTTGTTTTTACCCTTTTCGCTCCAGAAATAATTCTAACATAAAAAAGTTAATTTCATTGAAAAATCGAATTACATCTAGATTATATAAAGAAGATACTTGACTTGTAGGTTATAAAAGTTAAATTTGATAAACTCACGGGCATTTTTTGAATTGTAGGTTATCTATTTTCTCATTTCTTTTGAATTTTTTATTTTTTAATTCCATATCATTTTTAAACAACCAATGAGATGCACTTTCCCAATAACCTAAATAATCGCTTCTTCTAAAATTACTCCTAAACTACTTCCCCCACTATTTCCAAAATTATCTCTAATTCCTATTTATCTTCTAAATTATCTCTAATTCCTATTTATCTTCTAAATTATCTTTAATTCCTATTTATCTCCAAAATTATCTCTAATTCCTATTTATCTTCTAAATTATCTCTAATTCCTATTTATCTTATAAATTATCTCTAATTCCTATTTATCTCCAAAATGATCTCTAATTTAGTAGAGAGTTTATCTCCTAAATTATCTCTAGTTCCTATATATCATCTCCCATACTTTTTATCTATATCTATCTAAAGAAACTATGGATTAAACAATTTAAGAATTATTTAAATATTCTAACAAAATTATAAAATAACTAAAATATTTATTAAAAACACAAAAAATAATTTTATATTTTTATAAAATATATCACAAAATTATGTATTAACAATTTAAATTATGTTTTTCTGGATTATCAATTTAAATGTTTTTTTAAATATTTAATAATATGTAATAGTTTTAAATAAATAAAATTCAAATGACAAAAAAAATTAAATATTTTATAGATTATTTAAATATTTAAATAACTAAATATTTATCATAACTAGATTTTAAATAGTTAAAATAACGAAATTATATAATAAGTTAAAAAAAATTCTTCAAAGTAGAAAAATAATTATAACATAATATTTAAACGAATAATAATTTAATAATGAAATTATGTAATCATAGTATAAATTGTGATTTTGTAGTATGTTCAACCATCTTTGGAGCAAGGTTTGTTGTTTGGAGGTCGCTCTGTAGAGGTAGCAGCGGCAAGATCTATGGAGTCAGTTGCTTGGAGGGCAGCGGTGCCAGTCGCATTGGATTGGGCATGAATGAATTTGTGGACCTCATCTTGAAGGACAAGAGAGTAAGCCTTGCCAACGCTAGGCAGAGGATCCATTAACAGGATTTGAGAGCGCACATGGGGGCATATGATTGATTGAGACCCATGAAGAATTGCATGAGATGAGATGTAACTGTTGTTGGTAAGTGCTCAAGTCCTTGGAGGATGTACAAGAACAGGTCAGGGGCTGTGCGAGAGTGGTGGCAACAGGTAGAAAATGTTGGTAATGAGTGCCGATGGCACGCTGGAGCTGATAGATTCGGGGTCCGTTGTTGATGGAGAAGCATTCTCAAAGATGTTTCCAAAATCCAAATGGCGGATGTAGATTCGACATTGAGAACACTTGGTGCAAGGCCTCTGTGTAGTGAATTTAAGATCCATGACAGCACCATGTTGTTCACTTGAACCCGAGATAGAAGGAGAGGATCTGTCGATGCTGGCTTACTTATGAAACCATCAAGGCATCAACAAATCCCATACATCTTGTTCTTGACTGATAAAGCCATGTTCAACAGCCCGCAGAAGAGCCATGCATGGCATTTAGCTAATCCAAATTACAATTCAACTGCCTACAATTGAAAGAGAACGACCTGAATGAAATCCAATGTTTACAAGCATGCAGCTAGTGGCCTCATAAGCTTTTTATTTTAATGCTTTTTGACAAACATAGTGAGCCCTCCAACCGACCATCACCATCTAGTCTTGTTTAAGCAAGAAAAGCATTTTGAGAAGGAGAATGATCCAAAGATATACTACTCATCAAGTAAGTAAATCATGAGTTTTCCCTTCTATGTTGGGTTGAAAGCTGAGACAAACAAAACCAAAAATTGCAACATTATTTTGTATTTGGAATATATGGAATAAATGAAGAACACGGCAGGGTGTGGTGAGTATGCAGACAGTGAATCACCACTCTTTTAACCAGTGCTTTTGGTTTTGGGGGCCCTTGAGTGAATTAATAATGGGTGCTTTAATTAGACATATATAGTTAGTTGG